CAATAAGTTCATTGCTTCCATTTCCCAGGTCCACAACTTTCATAACAGCAAAGCAGTTGTTTTTAATTCCTGCAAATTACTTCTAATATTGTTTGGGCACCCTTCAAGGATATAGATATTGTTGAGATTATGATTATTATTTTATTCATCAACAAAGCATAATATAAAAAAAACCTAAAGTATTACATTTTAATGGCTTTTATTTATTTATTTATGAAATTTATTGGGCATCCATCTTACCCCAGGGTAACTCTAGAGAATTTTTGTTTTTGGAAATCCAGCCACAAACTTAGGAATTAACCAACCAAGCCCAGTAAGACAGTTTTTTGTAAATCAATAATTGATTTAACTATTTTATATTTCCAGCCATCTCATATCAAAACAAATCTGGGTGGCTTGCAGCATTAAAACATTACAATCCTAAGGAATAAATATTTCTGAATCAATAGAAATGGAAATCACAACTGAAATAAAATTAGTTAAAAGATGGGGAGGAAGGGAACAGGATGTATGGAGATGAAGGTGGGATTAGCAATAGCAACAGCACTTAAACATATATACTACTTCATAGTGCTTTACAGTCCTTTCTAAGCAGTTTACAGAGTCCACATATTGTCCCCAACAATCTTGGTCCTCACTGACCTTGAAAGGAAGGAAGGCTTGTGTTGTATATTAACAAATATGGCCAAGGAGTGGAGTCAGCTACCGTATTTCCCCATGTATAAGCACCCCCTTTGTATAAGCCACCCCCCCAATTTTTGGACTGTGAAGTTTTGAAAAAAATATTTTATTAGAGAAACAAGTTATGAAGAAAGAAAATTTACAAAGAAACAAAATTCGACGTCTAGATCTACAACTTCGGTCATGACGCCGAAAGCGGTGCGGGCGATGCTAGCAATCTACGCATCGGAACGAGAGTAGGAACAAAGCATTCAGGCCGATGCCTAGCGTATGCATTTCTATCGCGTACTCGCACTCGTAATCTTATCATCACGTACAATTTTTACAAAAAAGTATTGCATACTGCTGGAAAACCAGTTTATTCCTACTTTATTATTTTATGCATTTTTCACGTATAAAAAGTGTACCTGCTTTGTATATGCCACCCCCCTACTTTTTGGGCTTGAAAATTTTGGGAAAAAGGGGTGGCTTATACATGGGGAAATACGGTAATAGTCTCTACTCATTGGCCCAGTTGCTGGCAGGAAAATCGAAGTCCTGTCAGTGGCTGAAGCTTTGGACAGCGCCAGCTACAAAAGCCAGCGCCTGCCATGGCTGAGCAGCTTTTTCTTAGACTAAGAGAAATAAAGGTTTGTTGCCTGCTCCCCGTGTCCTGTCTCTCCTTTATTGCGTGGACTCCCCACTGAACACTGGTGATGAAGGTGGGATCCTGAACTGCAGAGAGAACAAAGGATATTTTGTGGGGTCGGCGCCATTTTCAACCGAAACCGACCGACGACATGGCACATAATTGACCAGGCATGGCGCGACCAGCCTGGCACACTGCCCAATGGCCGTCCCTTATGATCCCGCTAAGGAGAAATAGTTGTCCTACATGGGCCAATTTAATCTACACCTAGAGGTAAATGGACTCCAAGCAGCCCCAGATGCATAAAAAAGGGCACTCTTCCTAACGTACTGTGACGTTGAGATCTACAAAATGGCCAATGCCCTGGTCGCGGATGATCTAAGGACTGTGTCCTGGGACAAACTACAGTGTGACTTCCGTAGACACTACAGCCCATCTCCATCCTACCTGGCCAGCTGCTATGATTTCTACACGTGGAGCCAGAGAGAGGGAGAGACGATCAACTCATTCGTGGCAGATCTATAGAGAATCACAAAGAACTGCAGATTCCCCAATACCAAGGGGATGATCTGAGACCGGATCATCCTAGGAACAAAGCACTACAAAAGAAACTCCTGGCCCACGAGGAGGTCTCCTTCCAAGAAGCTGTCAACGAAGCCAGAGCCGCCGAATCATCCGACAACTCAGCAGTATGGATCTGAGGGAATGGAAGGGTCCATGCAAGGGGACCGAGCACCTGCAGTGGCCCAGCAAGTCCATTTCTGACTCCAGTGATGACAACAATGGTGGAGACGTACATAAGCTGAGGTCCAGTAAGCCAGGCAGAAAACCGGGATCCGGAGAGTGTGGTGGCTACATGGAAACCATCTCCGATCCATGTGCCATTTTAAAGACACCATATGCCAGAGATGCGAGCAAAGAGGCCACATCACAGAGGTATGCCGTGCGGCAAAACCAACGAGCAAGCAGGGCCAGCGAGCCGCATTGCCCGTGAAACAACATGGCCGCCAAGGGCGAGGGTGGAAGTATTTTGGCAGGAGATTCAAAAAGAGGGGAAGACCCCCAGGAAGAGGAAGCCCACGTCACGTTTGTGGGCTACGCATAAGCCAGAGTGAGGCACACCAACACCTACGAAGCAAACAAAATAATGGCCACGGTTGGCATCGAGGGCCAGCCTTGCCATATGGAAGTAGACTTGGGATCCTACATATCCATGATATCATGGGAAACCCTGAAAAAAACTCATACCTGGGCAACGATGTGACCAATTGGAACCTCAAGCCATTATTTTAAGAGACTACCAGGACCGTAGCATACCAGTCCTAGGAAAAAAGACTGCACGCATGGAGTATGCTGCCTTCTGCAGAAGTCTACCCCTCACAATAGTAGACCAGTGTCTACCCAGCCTGCTCGGCAGAGAATGGTTCCTGCCACTCCAGATAAGCATTGCCGGCATCCACGCAACAGAGATGACCTCCCCCCAAAACCGACTGGAGAAATCGCAGAGCTGGAATGAGAATTCAGTGACATCTTCAACAACAAACTGGGCAAGTACAGGGGGACCCCTATATCATTTAATTTAGACCCAAATATCGCCCCGGGCCGCCTCAAGCCGTGGTGAGTCCCATTGGCACTCTGACCAAAAGTCGAGGCACAACTGGACAAACTGATAGCTCAAGGGGTTCTAGAACCAGTAGACCACACCAAATGGGAGACCCCGATTGTGATCCCGGTCAAGCCAGACAGCACCTCTTACACTCCCTGGGCTAGGGGACTATATTCGCTAAGCTGGACCTGGCCCAGGCCTATCAGCAACTGCCAGTCGACAATGCCACTGCTGAGGCGCAAACCATCATCACGTACAGGATGGCATTTAAGTGCAAGAGGCTCCAATTCGACATAAGCATAGCCCCAGGCCTGTTCTAGAGTATCATGGAGTGGTTACTGCACAACATCCCTGGGGTAATACCCTATTTCGATGATGTAATTGTCTCAGCTACCAACAGGGAGAAATTGATGGAACGTCTAAGGGCAGTCCTGGGAAGGTTCCAGGAGGCAGGACTGAAATTAAAAAGAAACAATGTCACATAGCAGTCCTGCAGGTAGAATTTTGGGGGTTCCTAATTGACGCCGCAGGCATCAGACCCACAAATGGGAAGCTTAAACAATAAGGGAAGCCCCCACGCCACAAAACAAGCCAGAGCTGCAAGCATTCCTAGGGTTGCTGAAATTTTACAATGTGTTTTTGTCACAGAAAGTGACCATTGCAGAACCGCTCCACAGGCTGCTCAATAAAACAGTGAGTTGGATGTGGGGACAGCGGGAGGCTGAAGCATTTTAAAAAATTTAAAGCATCTTAACATCGGACAGTGTTCTCATCCAATACAGCGAGACACTACCCTTAACGTTTACCTGCAACGCCCCCCCCCCCTACAGCATAGGAGCAGCCCTCAGCCACAAATTGCCAAATGGAATGGAAGCTCCTATCGCCTACTTCTCAAAGACACTATCTAAAACACAAAGAAATTACAGTCAGATCGACAAGGAAGCACTTGCCACGGTTGCAGGGGTAAAGCGCTTCCATGAGTACCTGTATGGCAGGTAGTTTGACCTCATCACCGATCATAAACCCTTACTGGGCATTCTCGCAGGTGACAAACCCACACCAAACATCCTGTCCCCGAGAATGCTGAAATGGACAGTATTCTTAGCAGCATGCAGCTACACATTAACCCACCAGCCAGGGAAAGACATTGCCCACACCAACACCCTCAGCTGCTGCCCCCTTCCAGACACGGCTGAGGACCCATCACCATCCACAACAGTGCTACTAATAGAGAACATATGGCCCGGGATGATGATGTCCTCAGAGATCGCGAGGCTCACCGGAAAATTGAAGTCCCGTCAGTGGCTGAACCTTTGGACAGTGCCGGCTGCAAAAGCTGGCGCCTGCTGTGACTGAGCAGCTTTTTCTTGGATTAAGAGAAATAAAGGTTGGTTCCCTGCTCCCTGCGTCCTGCCTCTCCTTTATTGCACAGATTCCCCACTGAACTGCGCGGTCTGCTAAAGGACCCCTTCCACCCCCAAAAGAAATTCACATGCTCCTTTGGTGGAAAAAAAATGTAGCACAATTAAAATGTCATGCTTTCCCTTCCTGTATTTGGAATGTGTTTTCAAGAGATGGGGAGATGAAGAAAAATAATACTGCTAGTCCTCATAACAGTTTTCTTAGACTATACCTAGAATACTCCACACTTAAAATATTGCATCCAGTTTTGGTCACCACACTATGAAAAAGATGTTGAGACTCTAGAAAGAGTGCAGAGAACAGCAACAAAGATGATTAGGGGACTGGCAGCTAAAACATACAATGAACCGTTGCAGGAACTGGACATGGATAGCCCAGTGAAGAGAAGGACCAGGGGAAACAGGATAGCAGTCTTCCAATATTTGAGGAGCTGCCACAGAGAGGAAGGGGTCAAGCTATTTTCTAAAGCACCTGTAGGCCAGACAAGGAATAATGGATGGAAACTGAACAAGGAGAGATTTAACCTGGAAATAAGGAGAAATTTTCTGACAGTGAGAACAATCAACCAATGGAACAAAAGTTGCCTTCAGAAGTTGTGGGAGCTTCATCACTAGAGGCGTTCAAGAAGAGATTGGACTGTCAACTATCAGCAATGGTGTATAGTCTTCTTTGGTGGAGGATTAGACTAGATGACCTACAAGGTCCCTTCCAACTCTGTTAATCTAATCTAATCTAACCTTGAATTGGTCAGAATCGAACTTCTGGCTGTGGGCCTACAGTAATTAGAGTTAGCCTACAATACTGTATTCTAACCACTGTGCCACCAGGGCTCCTTTACTAGAGATTGCCTCTTAACTCATCAACCATGTCCAGGGTGGTGCTCCCGCATTGGGGCCCCAAGTCATCTGGCAGAACCAGATCTACAGGCTCTTGTGAAAGGTCAGAAGGGTGGGAGCCAATCTCACCTCAGGGGGTAAGATGTTCCAAAGAGCTGAAACCATGGCAGAGAAGGCCTTCTTCTGGACCCCATCAGCCAGAATTCCTTAATTCCTGCCAAGGCCTGCAGCATGCCTCCTCTGTGGGCCAGTCCCCGTGGGGTGAGATGGTTCTTTAAATCCCATTCCATGCAGGACTTTAAAGGTAATAACCAATACCTCGAATTGCACCCAGAAGTAGACCAGCAGCCAGTGCTGCTTACAGAATATGGGTCACTCTGAGGAACCCAAGAACTGCCCATTGCCACCACACTCTGCAGCAGTTGAATCTTCCAAATGCATTTCAAGGGTAGTCCCATTTAGAGTTCATTACACTAATCCAGAAGTGAGATGACGAGGACTTGAATGACTGAACACAAGGATTCTCAGTCCAGAAAAGGCAACAACTGGCACACCATCTGAAGTTGTGCATAGGCTCTCCTAGCCATGACTGCCACTTGCTTTTCAAGCAGGAGTTGCAAGCTCAGGAGAACCCCCAAGTTATGATATGTATGAGATCTATCTGGGGAAGTGCAACCCATCCAGAACTGAAGTGTCAGCTTTAAAATTCAGCTGCCACATTTTTTTTAAAGAGAGTTGGAGGAGTTGAAAAGTTCACGGTTATTCTGTATGTCGGATTAAGAAATTCCAGTGGCAGTTAATTGGTTCTCGTGATTTATGAAGTGTAGAAGTGGGAGGAGAGAAGGGAGGAGAGAAGGTGGATTCTGTGTAATGCGCGAAAATAATTTCACTTGGGAAATTGCCTTTGACATACCAGATCTGTTTCTAAATAAATCAATTGGAGAGAAATGTCTCGGAGTGATTGATATCATGGATACTTTCTGGATGCCTTACACTAAGTTGGTTAAAGTCTAAAGACTACATATTTCGTTGTGGTAAAAACCTGTTTAATCTGTTTATTGTTCCTTCTAATGCACCAATAATTGTAGGGATGACTTTATAAAATGTTCTACATAATCCACCTGTTTCAATCCTCAGATGTGGTAAATTTCTCCTATTCTTCTTCCTTGATGCTGAGATCTGTAAATATTCTCACATCTGTAAAAATTACTCTTCAAAAAGTCACTTCAACTATTGTTGCATCTGGTGTTGTGTATTCTGGATAAGGATCAATTTGTAGGTGAAAGTCCCATAAAAGGTTAACATCGTCATTGTCAAGAATTTTTTAAAATATTATGATTATACTACATTGTGAGACATAGAAATTAAACATTTTGCATAGATGCCATCGGATTGTGGGGCTATTCTGTCATGACATTGTTTTTAAATCAGCCTGAACAATTTTGTTGCATTATGTGATCCATGCAACATTTTTTTATTTTACAAAGTCTACATTTGCTGCTGGTTCCTTGAATTCTTCATATTTGTTCTTAAAGCACAACTATTACTCCTGGTGCCAGCTTGTATCTATTGTTGGTTCCCGGTCTTGTTCACTTCACTTTCCATTTCTTTTATGTATTGGTCATGTCATACTTCGTTTCTCCAATTTCCTAAGTGCTTTCCCAACAATTCAATTTTATAGTTATTTTTTGCTGCTCCAATTTCAGAGATGGGGGTGCACATTGCATTCTGGGTGCTGGCACGCAAGAGTGTGTGCGCTGGGGTGCATGCAAGTTTTGGCATAGGAACCCAAAAAGGTTAGCCACCACTGCTCTCTGAGATAGTTTAATGCATCCACAAAATTACCCAAAGTTCTTCCCCCAAATGCCAATCTGTTACCATTTGAAATAGTGTTTTGTAATTTAAATGTTAGAGATTGCAAAGTGGAGTTTGCATTCACACCAGACTTCTAGGCTTACTGGAGGCATCTGGCTACCCTTTGTTGGAAACAGGATGTTGGACTAACTAGGGAGTTGAATAGTCCAAAAGGATTTTCTTAGATCTAACCAACCATGCCAGTAATATAAGAGATGCAAATATAAATGTGTTGTAAGCCAGGTAACAGAAGGGAAACAAAATGTGCCCAAAAACCAACAGAGAAGCAGCTGCAATTAATATCAGACAATTGGTTTAGCCCAACTGCTGTCCTATTGCTCTTTTCAAGGAAACTCCATCAAGTTCCCCAAGGAAGAGAGTTGATATCTCTCCTTGTAAAGCCTGCACACTGAATCTATTGCAGGAGATAAATAGGAAAAGCATCTCCATCCCTCAAGAGCCTCCTTTTGACAACAACATTAATAATCATTGACAGGCAACAGACAAGATTGCTTTTCAGCAGCCAAATCTGCAGCCTGGGCTGTGGTCCTGCTTCAACCTTTGGCCAAACCAATCGCAGTCACAGTATTGTCCAATAAACTGAAAAATGAGGTGGTGGAAGAGTCAGGCAAATGACCATGCTGGCTGAGTATTCGGGAAATGATGAGGACTCAAGCTGAGATAGGTTGTTTCAGATATTTATACACAGTGGTGATAGAATTACAATAGAAGCCTGATTTTTTTTTTAATGTGGAGTCTGCCGGATTAACCCAGTAGTGTTTAAAGTGAATTATTTGCATGTAGAAACTTGCAATCTCATCACATTAACCTAAGACCAAAATCCAGAGTTAAAAAAAATAAGTGTTTCTGGATCAGCACTGGACTAGGAATTCTGAGAATTGAAGTCCAAATAACTTAAAGTTGTCAAAGTTGAGGAACACTGGTCTAGATTATATACATGTTGCAAGGAGCATTCAGCTTAAAACTGAAACTGTTAATAAAAAAAACAGAAAGTGGAATTTCCTGTAAAATTTTAGAAGTAAGCCAAAACATTAATTGCCAGTTCCAGGTTTAGTAGGATATTCTTGGCTTCTGTGTCCTTCTAGTAACACAATGTTTCTCCTGCCTGGTCAGGTTTGCTCAAATAGGAGAGCTGCCCCTTTCCCTGCCCTCCCAGAGATGCCCCTGGGGGCTCAACAAATCATTCAACAACCTTTGCCCTCTATTCTCTCTCTCAAGAATTCACATAATGATGTGCCCTTGAAACTCCAAAACATTAAAGTGAATTCTCAGTATGTTCAACTACTGGAATCGCCATACAGCCAAAGAGAAGTATCTTGAAAGGACACCAATCCTGATTTTAAGAAAACCTTCCATTCACTCTTAAGAGTGAATATTAGGCCAAAAACACCTGTCCGCATTTGCTACTGGAGTCTTGAAGGACAATCAGCTCCTGAAGTTGGAACTGTCTACTTAAGCCAAGGAGCCCAACATCCTGCACAGTACAAGAATCCAGGTTAATTCATCCCCAAGAGATAATTGTGTAGTCTCTGTTTGAACACATCCTGTGAAGGAGACTCTGAGTAATTGGTTTCACTGTCAAACTGTTCTCACAGTAGGGAAGGTTTTTTCTAACATTCAGTGACTCTAAAACAACCCTAAATTTTAAAGGTAAATCAGTTGGGAGAAAGCCAACCCTCTTCTGGATAAATATAGTAATTTTAAAAGGCAGCCACTGGTTCTCTGATTTCAACTGCCCTGTTACTTGTTTCTAACACACACAGTAGATTAATCCTAAATAATGGTATTACATGAAAAGAAGAAACATTTATCTCTTTCTATGTTGATTTATAACAGTCTCTCTAAAGCTACATTGTTGTTCTGTACTAAACAAATCTCCCCATCAAAGGTCTTTGAAGGAATGAATTGGCTTGTAATTTGAGGGGTGGGGGCAGGGGTGGGATTCAAAATTTTTAGCAACTGGTTCTGTGGGCGTGGCTTAGCTGGTGGGTGTGGCTTGGTGGTCATGTGACTGGCTGGGTGTGGCCAACTCAACATCACTCACATCAAGTCTCGCATCTCCTCGCCTGGCTTCTCATGACTGTGGGGATGCTGCAACAGTCATAAGTGTGAAAAATGGTCATGTCACTTTTTGCAGTGCCATTGTAGCTTTGAGTGGTCACTCCATACAAGCAAAGTACCAGCAACGGAAGGGGAAATAAAACTCCAGAGAAGTTCCTGATATAGGAAGTCCAGTCCTGCCAAGAATGTAATAAGAGTTAATGGAGAGGCAGTTTCTGTAAGCAACACCAGAATATTTCCTTCCTGCCTTCCTTACAGGATTAGGCCAGTAATTTCTTCTAACAACCGGTTCTTGAACTGCTTAGAATGTTAACAACCAGTTCTAGTGAATAGGTACGAACCTATAGAATCCTACCCCTGGGTGGGGATGGGAAAAGAGGGGAGGATCTATTAAAATTTTGGAATGTTCTGCAGCTGTTGTTAATTTGGAGCATTCTGCATCTATTATGAATAGTTACCTTGACTTCTGATAGATCAGTTGGGATTCTTTGCTGTCTAATGACAGTCTACCATTTGAATTACAGGATCTGATCCAGACAAATAATTACTTCATTCTCAATTGCTGTGGATGTTTTGATTGTCTTTTGCAATGCATATTTCATGATTTTGTTGAAACCCAAGCAAAACTATGTATCTTACAATCTGGAAAGGCATTCCAAGTTAATTGGTTTCTAATCAGTGAGCAATAATAACGAACAACTGTGCTTTCACTTCTTAGTAATTGTTGGCACCATTCCCAAAGGCAAGTACACCTGTTTGATGCAAAGATAAATTGCTGGCAAAAAGGAAACAGGGGATTCTTCCCAATTGTTCCTGACAGAAAAAATCGCCAATTGTCTCCTGCAAAGCTTCTTGAAAATATTGTTTCTTGTTCTTAAATGTTTGGCTAACTTTCTCTGA